GATTTAGATCTGCAAAAAAATTTCGAATAACAATTTACTAGTATATCGTAAAAGTATAAAAGAAGTTAGTAACTCCTTATTTTAATCATTCTGTTAATTTTCATTAAATACATTTTAGACCGTTTAATATAGCACAAATTTTTTTTTAAAACATGGAAGCAACTCTTAGAATTGGTGTACTCTCAGCTAGAGAGTTAGCAGCAGCGTAAGTACAAAGTCGAACTTGAACGTATATTTACAAACTTATCAGATCTGAAAATTTACATTTTTTTTTTTTTTTCGTAGTGATAGAGATGGTTTTTCTGATCCATATGCTGTTATCCGTATCGCAAACAAAAAATACGAAACCGCAATAATCAAAAAAAATTTAAATCCGATTTGGAATACAACTTTTGACATTAAACTAGTTGAAACCGTAATTCCACCTCATATCACTATAACAGTATGGGATAAAGATCGGTTTGGTCGAGATTTTCTAGGCGAAGTAACGATTCCGATTAAGCAAATATTTGCAAGAAATGCTGGTGGTTTAAATGATGGTCTACCTAGAACTTTTGATGATCCAGAAAATATGCCTTCTGCTTATACTTTACAAAAACGAAATGCAAAACAAGATGTTAAAGGTGACATCATACTAAAATTTGGTATTGTTGATAGTCAAAATCGATCGTTAGAAGAGTTGAGATGTCTTTGGGAGACCTTAACTAGTAGGACTTATAGTTAGGCTTATTTCATTAACATTCATTCGATGGGGATAGAAGGGAGTCACAAATTATTTCTCCTGCATCTTATAAATCTTGCATTTTATTTTCAAATTTAAAAATTATTCATGTAGTTAGAATTTTAATTCTTGGGTCTACGGTAATCTGTGTAGCAATATCTATAAATAGTATGACAAGATCGCCAAACAAAACATATTACTCTGCCATCACACTTTGTAAATTTGTTACACCAGATTTAGTACATTCTAAGGTTATGGGTTGTGGTACGAAAACATGAGATCTATTATGAAGATGCCGCTGAAATTTCATAGAATAAAAAATATTAATAATTTAATTACAACTTATAAAAAAATACAAAAAACAAACTTACTGTAGAAATAAATATTTTCCCATAATGGTTGATAATCTCTTAGGATGCCACCAAATAATGCTAAAATAGGCTTATTACTGACAGAATTACAGAAATTGTTTATTTTTGGCCTTGATTAAATGAATATATCAGTGTATTAATAATGATAATGTCACTCTTCCATAATAATGACTATGATAGTTAAATAATTGATACCTTGTAAAGTGTTCGTAAAAAGGTCCTCTTAATATATAAAAGAAGAATTGCTTAATACGCCTTTTTCGCTCTTCCTTCTCTAACGTTGATAACCACCGGTACCCGCCAGGTATATGTGTCTTATAAAAGTAATTGGTAAGGATAATTGTCGACAATTCTATGATTAAGGACAATAGCCATGGTCGCCATGACTTATTACCATATTTTTGCAAAGCGATTACTATACATTAAATTATTATATTCGTGTTACATGTTTGTTGTATTAAATAAAGGTAATGAAAAATAGAAATAAAAATTATACCATAAATTAATGGTCTGAGAATATATAACAATTCGCCGAGTTTTCCAAATGAATGCAATTTATGCACTAAGTCTGGTGGTTTTCGTACATCTTCAACCATCAATACTTTACTCATTAAATAATCATTCACATCATAATTCTGAGAATACTGTACACATCCCTTTCGAACTATAGATATACTATCGTGTACTCGATTAGTATATTTTCCGACCCAAGTATCTGACTCCATTTCTTCACGATTTATCGCATCATCGTTTGATTTGTTTAAGTCTTCAGAGTTAAAAACAGATGGGTCAATTTCTCGTTTCGGGATAGTTGGTTCAATTACAGTACGTTCATGAGTTTTGTATAAAAGAATGATCCGGCAAATCACTCTTATTCAATCAGAGAAATACATTATAAATATTAAAATACAAGATAACAAACTTTCATATATCATTTTAATACTCACTTTATAAGTTCAATTATGCTGATCAATTTCCACTTAACCTCTTTCCCCCATTTTTTTTGTACACCCATTTCTAATAAAACATCGGTATACTGCAAGAATGTTAACGCAAGCGAAGCATGTTGATATGTTTTGGATGAATTTATCCAATATTTCGTATATCTATTATGAGGTGATGGCGATGGTTTTTTCGATGGTGGTAAATTTTCTGCAGCTCGAGCCAAAATGGAATCATGGTATAATCCAATCAAGTTCAACGCGGCAAATACTGTTTATCACGTTGAAATGCAAAGTACTATTGGAATAAACATTAAAAAAGTTTTAAGAATGTGAAGTATTAGATTTTACATACACGTTTCTGATGCAAACTCGGCATCCGCAAAACGTCCTATAATATTTAATCAACATTAATGCGGACCAATTAGCAATGTTTTTCCTTTGCAATTTTTACGCGAAAAATGCTTTACCAGGTAAAACATAAGTCAAAGTCCTTAAAGAACTCTCAATGGAGCTAATTTGTGACGCATTATTCAAAATCAGATCATCATACTTTTTTAAAAGTGACAAAATTGTTAACATTTTTTTTGTTTTACAAGGACACCGCAAAACGGGTCTTTGCAATAAAAGGGTAATGATTTTAGTGTCACTAAATGTTTTTATTAAAAAAATTGCTAAAGGAGAACTTTAAAGCTTCGTTGTCTTTTTTTATCATAAGATGATGATAAATCGAATCAGTTTGTGCTACGCTAATTTACTTTCCTGTGTAGATCTTGTATCATTGATTGGTTACCATTTTTGAAGACTGACTGTTAAGTGATAATTTCTAGATTATATCCGGATTAAATCCAGATCCCTCCGGATTATTCGAAATTAATCCGTAAAATTATTTAAGCTCGCTAGGAACATTAATTGCTTTCAACTAGTGATTTTTCTAGCAAATAACCCATATAAATATAATACATATTACATATTATTGCACGGGTCTTACGTGCAAATTCGACAAGCTTTTTTCTCACTGATCTGTATGAAAATCACATGATTTTCATATAGATCAGTGAAAATTGGTTATTTTTAATTCAAGATAAATCAGACAAACTTTTTTTATTGTTTTGAAAGGCAAATTAGACAAGAATCTTTTTAAAAAATATTAAATATAGGGTTAGAAAAAAATTATAAATTTGGGTTGAAAAATATTTGTTGAACAAGAATTTTTTAAAATTTTTAAATTTAGAGCCAGAAAACATTATTTTAAGTTTTTAATTATTTGTTAAAAAATTGTTGCAGTTTTAATAAAAATGCAAAAAATCAACTCTTTGACGATCATCTGGTCAACAAAAAACAAGAAACTGAACTACAGTCAGCGCTATAGAAGACGCTTAAGTAAATAATAAACTTGGTCCTACGAAAGTAGGTGTGTTGTTGACAAAGTACCAAGAGTGTAAAACCAAGGCGCGGTCTACTTTGGACTGGTTTTTGTAGAGGTCAAGCTTTTCTTCTGGCGGACTCTTCTATTATATTCGGCATCCAAATTAAAAGGATATTTTGGAAACACAGAATGTCTAGGATGACACTAGGAGTATTACAAGCTTAAGGTATATCTATACAACTGTAAAACTTACAAGGAACAACCACAGAAAAGTT